ACGTCTTGAGACAATTCCAAGGATAAAGGAACGTTATAAAAAAAAAGGGATGCTAATGAAAGTAATCTATAATTAATACGAGGAAGGTGTTAAAATTATGGACGTGTTCTTGGGTGGCTGAAACATTCGACACGTATTTTACGCTCTACACAGATGTTTTAGAAAGTGCTCTAAAGACAGCCTTCAGCGCGGGGATTTAAATACCGCTGTTGTGCTTGTCCTGCGTTAATATTTTTTGAATGCCCAATTAATTTTTGCTCTAAAATACTTTATTTATCATAACTTTTGAACTATATGAGATATAATTATGAATTTTCCACTGAAATCCTCTTAAAAGATGGTTTTATAATCTTACCTTATAACATGAACATCCTGTGTGTGAGCAATGGGAGCAAGTGGATCAGAAGTTGAGCTTCGTATGGAAGTCCTTGAAGCATCCAACCATGCACAACCCTACCTCACACTCACCACACCAATAAACAGTGTCTTTCCTTTTACCGCGTTTCCTGCACACCACACATCTTTTTTGGGGCTTTGCCTTTTTTCCTGTGGCAGGAATACGTTCTTGGAAATGGCGTTCTGAGAGTCTTTTAGGTGGCGGATCAAGTGACGGACGGCCGGATGAAGGGCGCGGAACACCAGGACCGTGTTTTTCAACGAGGCCTTGCGCTAACAGAATTCGGAATCTTAGGGTGTCTAAGGTTTTGTTTTGTGGGACGCAGCGATACATGACCATTGCATTATGTATTGCTACATTGAGTAGTCTCTTGAATAGTTTCATGTACCACTTTGTTTCCTTCTTTCGTTCCAGTAAGTACGCCTGGAGCATCTGATCTTTCAGATCAACTCCCAGCATGTGTTTATTGTAGTCACGAACTACCAGAGGCTTTATCTCTTCTCGGTTGGCTTTGTTTATAGTCACACGCATATCATCTTTGTGGTATGTTGATAACATGGTGACTCGCCTCTTATCTTGCCACGCGAGAACTGCCACATCACCAGAGTGTTGACCACAGTGCTCTCCTTTCTTCAATTTCTTATTCTTCACTGCAGGAGGGACATTTTTCCAGCTAGCCCGTAAAGTTCCAACACAGTCTGTTCTTTTGGACTTTATGAACCGAGCCAGATCTGGTGAATTATAAAATTTGTCCATCCACACTGTGTGTCCACGACCAAGAAGAGGTTCTATCAGTTTGACTACAATTGCTGCAGTTTTGTTCGTTTCTGCAGTCACAAACTGATTCGCCAGTTCCATGTCTTTTCCAATATAAACCAGAAAAGACCACACATAGCCAGAGCTAGACTCGCAGAGTTCATACGTT